GGGCCTGCTTGCACTGAGCTGTGGAGGCAGCATGGCCCGGGCAGTGCTTGTCAGCGTTTGGTCCCAGTACAGCCCCAGGTTAGCGCCCCCCCAGAGCCTGCACCTCATGCTGGGTGCCCGCCTCCCGTTTCCTGCTGCAGGTGGCACCCTCATTGTCATGGGGTCTCTCTTTGTGCCGTGGCCTGGTTTCGGCAAGTTATTCCAGTTTTAAACTTTGCTTACGGGTTTGAGATGGTGTGGCTAGTGACGACAAATGTTCTTTTCCATTTAGGTTTTGTTTTATTACTTCTTGGTTCTTATTTTCTTTGAATGACTCCTGCTGAGGGATACATGAATCGGGGTTTGCCATTTTCCCTCTGCTGCTGTGTGGAAACCTGTCCTTGCCTACTTACCAAGAAGGAGTGCAGGCTAATGGGGTGACCTTCATCTCAAGACCACAGGAAATCATAGCTTTGGAATGTTTCCTGTGGCCCCAGCTGAAGGCTGGTTTCCCTGAGCTGCTCTCGAGCGGATTTTCACTGTTGGGTGGAAGGGACCAGAACCAGTGCGTCTGAGAGCCAGGAGCCCAGGACTCCTGCTGGGACTGAGCCCCTCCCCTCGGCTGCTGGCATCTGGGCTGGTTGCTCCTTCGCCAAACGCCTCCGGGCAGAATCACGAACCTTCCCACCAGGTTAGAACCACCGCTGCAGAGGCCCCAGCAAACTGGGCTAAAAGGCGCGCGCTAGATGCTTTCCGGGGGCTGCTCCCTTTCCCTGCTTCCGGCCCAGTCCCCTGGGGTTGGGCTGTGTGAACATTCCTATGTTGTTCCTTCCCCGCCTTGAATGCTTTAGCTCTCCACTTCCTGGCGCTTATTGTACGGGCAGTGGAGACCTCAGGGCCTCTCCACTCCCTGGGACGCGTTATTCTGTGATGCTCCCCAGGGTTTCCCAATGGCCTTTCTGGTTTCTTGCCTTAAAATGGTAGTAAATCCGAGGCCCCAAAGCAACCATCCAACAGGGGCTCTGAAGGCAGCGGCGAAGCAGCCAAGGAACGCGTGCGTGGCAGCAGGAGGCTCACCCAGGAGGCTCACCAGGCTCTGACCCTCCAGTGCCAGCACCTCCTGTATTGCAGGCTGTTCCCTCCCCTCCGGCCCCCTCTCCTTCCTTTCCTGCTCTGTGCCATACATTTAGGAGTTACAGTTTAAATGTAAGTCTTACCCTCTGCTGGAGAGGAAAGAAAATATTTGAAAAATGGAAAGAAAACACCCACGGAAAGACCCCGTCCGTGCCCTGTGGGATGGTGTCCTAGATTTCATTCTAATTCCTTCATCGCGGCGACCATTTCAGGTGGTTTAGGAGGATTTTCAGAAACCAGAGAATTAATCTTTGAAACCTTTTTTTTTTTTACTGTCATGGACTTGCTCAGAGCCCATCTACTTGCTTTCTGTTACTCATTCACACCCATTAGAACAGTAAAGTTCACCGGCATCCCCACTCTGTGTATCTTCCAGCAGCTCTGATGTTAAGGCTGGGCCGACTCTAATGCCTGTGAGGTGTCTGTTCTCAGCGTTTATTGTCCTCTCTCACATTTCCCGGCGAAACTAGGCTGGTCTGTGTGCGAGAAGAGTACTTTCTGCCAGCCTGGCACATCTGTCTGGCTTCTGCCACTGACATGGATTTAATCGCTCCATCACCGAGTGTTGTTGCTTCATGGGGTGGAGCGCCCTCCACCGGACATAGTGAGCGGTGTCTGTTGGGAGGCAGCTGCCGGCGGCCCTGGGTCCCCTGTGCTCCTTCGCAGTTGTGCTGGGTGAGGAGGTGGAGACCACGAGCTGCAGACACGCCCGAGGTCACACGGAGGCACGGAGCTGGATGTGGACCAGGAGCACTGGGTCCAGAGCCGCCGTGCTATCCCACGGGAGCCGGCTCTTCAGGGAGGCTGCATCCATCCCTGGGGTTGAAGGACAGTTGAAACTCGGTGTCAGCCTGGCTTTATCGTCAGCGCTGTGCTTTGAGCTTAACCTCCCTGAGCCTAATGAAGTTTCCCCTTCTGTAAGTTGGGGTGACAGTGACCTCACAGGATTCTCATAGGAGAGAGGGACGCCTCCACTTTTGGAGAATACTAGGAGGGCGCTGGTCCGGCCGGGGGCGGGGCGGTGATGTTTAGTTATGTCCTAAGACCCAGAGAGTAGGAGCCGGCCAGAGCTAGCACTCAGCCTGCCGGAGCGCTCTCAGCGCTCTCGCCCACTCTCGCCGGCCCTGGAGAGCTGCTTGATCCTGCTAATCCACTCCCACGCCGCCTCCATCCAGCACTGTGCCTGCCTCTGGGGTTCTCTTCCTGGTTCAAGTGAGTGGGGAATCAATTCTTTACTGTGGAGTTTGAATTCCGAAAGAAGGTGGAATGTGAAGGGAAGAATCTGGCTGGTGGATGGGGACAACACAGAAGGCTCAGTCTGGGGAAAATGATGGGAAAGAAGAGGGACAGGACTAAGAAAAGGTAGCTTGGTAAACAGGACGGGGTCCAGATGGGAAAGTGCTCTGGGTACATTCATTTGGGAATAATTTGATTGGCTTTGGGAGGTTCTAGGAGAATAAAAAAAGTGTCATGAGACCAATGAAGTAGCCCTAGAATTTTGCCTCAGAGCGCACAACTCATCAGTCTCTGAAAAATGGCTAAGTGCTTGGACAGTTCTCAGGAGCGTGTCCAGGAGGCTGCCCGACTTGTTGCCAGAGTAAGAGAGGCGTTTAGGCGTGAACTGAGATGGCTTCTTTTTTTTAATCCCCCCCCAAGGAGTGAGATTTTTTTCATTGATTTTTTTTTTTTTAGAGAGAGTGAAACAGAGGGGGAGGGCGAGAGAGAGAAACATGGATACAAGAGAGACACATCGATTGGTTGCCTCCTGCGCGTGCCCCAACCGGGGACGGGAATGAACCTGAGACCCTGGTATGTGCCCTTGACCAGGAATCAGACCCGCGACCCTCGGGTGTGCAGGCCAACACTCTAGCCCTCAAGCAGCACCAGCCAGTGGCTTTTCTTTTTTAACCGAGGTCTTAGAATCCTGGAAAATTGGGGCAACGATGGCAAGGAAAGTTTCCATCCTCTCCTGCTGCTTTCCACCTTCATATTCTTATCTTTCTTTTGGGGAATAAGTGAGAGGCATTTCAGTTCCGGGGTAAGCTGGGCAGATTTTGGAAAATGTAGAGGCATTACAGACAGAATCACCTATGCTTTCATAAAGTAAGTCCTGTCATACTTACTTCTAAGTAGTTGTAATCTACAGAAAAGGGCGCCTGATTAAACAGATATTTTATGAAGTCATCTCCTTGAATCAGACTGGCATGCCAATAGTTGGTTCTGTGGTAACTGGTAAGCTTCTTCAGTAATTCTCTTCAAGAATCACTCAGGATATGTTAGTTTATTTTATATTGGGAGTCCTAATAAAGTTACTTAGCTTAGCACTTTTTTCACTGTTGCTGTGGAAACAGCATTAAAAATTGTGGGTCAAGAACGCGAAAATACTCCTTACGCCAGGAAGGTGTGCGAGCACCATGCGGGTGGCAGGCAGACTGGGGGACCCTGGGGCATTTGCTGAGTGGCCCCGGGCCCAGCACTGGCACCGAGTTTGAACTGTGTCAGTGTGTGAAGCAGGAAAACAACTCAGTCACAGACAACAGTATGGTGATTACCAGAGGGAAATGGGGGAGGGGGAAGGTAAAAGAGAGTAAAGTGGGGATAAATGGTGATGGAAGGAGACTGGGGGTGGTGAACACACAATACAAAATACAAATGGTGTATTACAGAATTGTACACCTGAGACCTACATAATTTTATCAACCTATGCCACCCCAGTAAATCTAATTTTAAAAAGAATGCTGCTGTTAAAAAATGGCGATTGCAGAATGAAAAGTAACAGAATTGAAGAATGGCAAGAGAGGCTGGATAGACCACCCATGTTACTGGTCAAACCTCGTCCTTTTGGGGAGGGAGATAGCGGAGTCTGACGCAGCTGTGACGTGCTCCCGGTGCTCACGTGGACATGCTGGTGGTCAGTGACAGCCGGAGAGAAACCAGATCGCCCAGCTGCTGGCCCAGGACTCACTTTGCTCTGTCTCGCTGGCCCGTTCAGAGCTTGTTTATCTGTTCAGCTGGAGGCAGCAGGCGAAGCCCTATGAAACAGCTCGTGAATACCTAAAGGGGTTCGCCATCAAGTGTAAATGAGAACAGTACAGGGAAGACCTCGGAAGGAACTGTCAGAGAGGAAAATACTCGTTGTGCTATTTGAGCCAAAATTTGGAGACTGAGAGGAGCGATGGTATCCCAAGTGTGAGGACCAGCAAAGGTACACACCTCTGTGGGAGAATGAGAACATTGTTGGAGAGCAGGAATGGGGTAAGGAAGCAGAGTCTACTGGGCTCAGAGAACCTGTGTTGGAGAGTAACTCGACTGCTGCTTGGTGAGGAAGGAACTGAGAGATATGGAAAGAGCAGGAAGAGGGAAGGTTAGCAGAGTCTTACTAGACACTAGAGGCCCGGTGCACGACATTTGTGCACTGGTGGGGGGCGCTGTTCTATGCCGGAGGTGGACATCCCCCAAGGGATCCTTAGCACTGCTGCAGAGGCGGGAGAGGCTCCTGCCACGGCCACTGTGCTCGCCAGTCATGAGCCCGGCTTCTGGCTGAGCAGCACTCCCCCTGTGGGAGTACACTGACCACCAGGGGCAGCTCCTGTGTTGAGCGTCTGCCCCCTGGTGGTCAGTGCGCGTCTTAGTGACCGGTCGTTTCGCCATTCGGTCGATTTGCATATTAGCCTTTTATTATATAGGATAGTTGATAGAGAATGAAGGGTCCACTGGATTCTAGTTAGTAGATATAAGCTTTATAAGGGCAAGGATTTTCTTTGTTTGTTTTACTCCCTATTGTATCCTCCATGCATAGAACAGTGCCTAGCACAAGGTTAACACTCAGTAAAATTTGTCAAATGAACAGACAAGTGAATGAACCACTAAAATATGGGTCCCAACAGGATTGAAGTTCTTGACCGAAGGGATAATGTAATAGAAACAGTGTCCAATGAAGAATATTTTTGCAAATGTGGAATGAATGGTCTCAATATGTAAAGGATCAGAGATAAACCCTCCAATATGGAATGACATGATGGAGACTCAAATTAGAATTGTAATCACAGGAAGAGAAAAGACAAGGGTAGAAGGAAAATAAATGGACTTGGATCTGGAAGCACAAAGATACCTTTTATGAGCCAATGGAACTCAAAGGAAAACTTCAAAATCATTTGGATTCAAATTCAGTTACTTTTTCATTAAAAAAAGAACTTATGTATTTATATGCATAGCACATGGACATGAACAGTAGGGTGGTGAGGACCTGGGGGGTGGAAAGGGGCTGGGTGGAGGGGGGT